CTAGAGTCAAGAGTCAAGACTGATTAAAATATTAAATATCAATGGCTAATGCATATTGCATAATATATGTTGCATAGTGCAACACGCACGTCATTACCATTTGGCATTTACTACCAGGTCACCAGGAACAGTGTCCTAAGCCTAACTGTCCTTGTAGGCGGTCTTTTGTTAGGACGTGTGTGATTTCAGATGGACCAAGATAATTTAAGAATTTAACACTGATTTACAATATTTACRTTAAGTTCATCTRTAAAGGTATACTTATAAACGCTATGAACCTATTTTCATGAAAAAAATTCTTATCGAGCCACTCGAGCCCGGATTTCGAAGTATGTGGTACGTGTTTCCAATACCTCAACAGTCAACACTAACACCTATTGTAATTTGTATAATGTATATCAGAATTATATAGGAATATTCTTAATATTCAATCATTGGAAATTGGAATCGGTTTACACACTGCCACACTGGACACTGGTTGTCAGTCACGATCGGTTGGCGCGCCGGTTCGAAAAAACCATATGTCTGACGACGCACTGTTCCATGAGCGATGCGCGGTTCCATGGACCAATGGTTCTGTTGGTGGCGGCGGACGCACCGCGCACCGTTCCCCACCGTCGAAAAACTAACTCCCACTCCCTGCATCCCCGCCAAACGATCGTACGCCGTACGGCGTGGACGTCCGCGCACGCTCAATGCTCAGCTCATACTCTCATGTCTCATACCTCAGTCCTCAATACCTCATAATGGTCATACTCTCGTACGGCCCGTACGGGGCGTACGGGCTTACTTATACTACTTATAAGTTATAGTACTTTAGTACTTACCGTGGTGCTACGGCTATGTACGACAATAATGATATTTATGTTATATCGTATGCACACTAATGTATTTATATACATACATTTAATATTATATCATGTACACAAATATACGTTTAAAAGGTATATGCTGTTTTATTGGTAAAGTTTGGTGTCGCCGACGTACGAAAAGTACGAGGTTTTGTGCGAGCCACGTCGTACTGTGAACCAGCGACGTTCTGCCGCTATTGTCCTATAATCGTAGCCGTTGCATTATTTTCCCCCGACCGACGACGACTCGACACGCCGTGTTGTCCGGTGCCGCTGTGAGATCGGCCGTGCGCGTCACTACTGCAGTACTGCTACTAATATAGTACTATTGGAAAATCGGCACGTCGCCGTCTCGCAGTCGAGCAACCGCGCCACACGTCTTAGGCACCGCAGTGCCGACCGTCCACACAGCGCACACTGCACAGGTACGCCGCCGCCGCCGCCGCCGCCGCCGCCGAGTGCAGTGAACTTGATCGATTACGTCAGCGTCCGTCGTCGTTAGCCTACTGCTGCTGCCGCCGCCGCCGCCTGTAGTTCGCCCCTTTTTTATCTCTCTTTTTTTTTCCCACGCACACACACACGCGCGCGCGCGTTTTCGCGTATTATACATATCTGTATACGTATGCACGCATAGTAATAACATTGCAATAGTTATAATCATAATAAATATCAAACAATTAATAATATAAATAATATAATAGTAATACAAAACGCGCGTCCGTTTTTTTTTGTTATCGTTTGTTCATTGTCGAACTAAAGACGTTCGCAAAAGCGTCTCGTGTCTTTGTTCGACCGTTCGACGTCGACGCGCATCGCGCAAACGGTTCGCCGCGGTTTTTCGCGTGTATCGCCGACAACGTCAAGCAGCAGTCTCTCTCTGTCGCTCTTCCGAGCCTCAACAGATCATTACGTTGCCCGCACCCGGTCAAGACCCATCCGAATCGCAGCCCCGACCGATCGCGAAAACCTTCCGGAAAATCGTCGTCCTTCCGTAAAAATCGTTTTAATTATACAATATAGTCCCGTAGCGTCTCGTTTGCTCAGATAGAGGGTCGCTGCGTACGAACGACTTGTTATTCATCATCGTTTCGTGTTAGAAATTATTCAAAATTCCGGTCCCGACGAAGAACTGCGCCTTTTCCGGCCGAAACGACGACGGCAGGATGAACACGAAGAGAAAAAGTCGCGCCAACACCAACAGCACCGGGACGAGGTACGTACGCGATATTATTATGCGGTAGACCATAATACTATGATCATAGTACCTAATAGGCTTACTGGGGCTTAATAAACCATAGGGCTTAGGTATCCTTTTTGTAGATGTTTTTCGAAAATGCGATCGATTAGAGTTGTGTGTACTCGTCGTCCGATTCGGGTAGGCTGGTTGGCGTTTTATTTTTGATGCCGYCGCCCGCTCGTACGCGTTGAAATGTTGAATTTCGACAGTAATTATTATTGTATCAAATTAAATGATAATAATGATAGTATAATAATTTATAATAGAAATAAAATTGCTATTTTATCGTTGTAGGTCCTCATTCAGTCGTGTTCGGCTGTAAAGACGATGCAAGACTGTTGTCATTTGTTTTACGAATTTTTTCCTCGCTAATCAATGTCAACACAGTCGCCATTTTGTCGGGGATTTTTCTATTATATACCCCGTGTAGTACCTACTACTAGAATTACTAGTAATAATAACATTTTTGTCTGGTCAACGTTCCTACTACTTCAAAAACARTAATACAAAATAATAATTTTCCATCAATATATTATAATATAGGCTACGTTATTATTATTATTACTATTATTATTATTATTTATTATCAACGCAGGTGACTGGATGGAAATTAAATTTATAGAAACACTTTCTGAGAACACCTCTGATACCGCACACACGTTTTTCTCGTGTTTCAGAAACTAATCGATTTTTCGTAGAATTTTATTTTCTCGTTGTGCCGCCGCACAATTGGAATTTCGATTTTGAATTATTGGAATCGGCTCTCCGAAGTACAAACTGCAACTCTCATAGACAAAAGACATTTTTCTATTATGGACTTAGTTCTACGAAACGGCTTGTTTGGGTGCGGCGGATTGTATGGGATTTTGGTGATCTATACAGCTAGTCTATATAGCTAATCTTGTAGAAAAGCCCCATATTATATATGTTATAGGATTATTTTGCATTACCTTAGGAACTTCCAGTCATAACTTGTTGGCTTGCTGTTTGTCAAATATTTTTCTATACCAAACATTCAAATTTGTCAAAATGTTATACCTTATTGGTCTAATATTTATGTTCCAATACAACAATGATAAATAGGTACTTTACTACTTTAAATACCTACCTCAATGTAAGACTGTGAAATCAAAGGAAAAATACCTATCTAATAAAGGTGATTATTTAAGTAGGTATCTATTGCAAGGCAGGCCCTATTTTTTAATTAACCCCRACACAAAATGTGTAATCCGAAATTGAAAGTGTGCACTATGGATTCGAGAAGTGTGTACCTACTAAATACTAATAAATAAGACTACTTGCTAGATAGAAGTAAGTAATACCTCGRGTAGTACAGAATACATTATACACATTTTAAAAAAATAATATTTTTTTAGCCCCCTGCGGTTCTGTATTATTTCATGGTACATTAAAAGATGTGTAGTACGAATTTTTGTGAAAAATAGGGGCTGTTGCAAGGATAACAAGAAAGACATTATTAAAAATAATTTTGTTTAGGTTTCTAACTCAAGTTTATAGTTATAAATTCATAAAATTATTAGTTTTAAAAATTCTTTCACTTAATTTTCTTTTAGTTATACTATCAAATACCATTTTACTCTAGGTGCACATTTAAAGATATATCAAAGGTTATTTTATAATCTTTGTTAAATGTATTAATATATTATGTTCTGACTGTTAGTGAATCATGTGTTCAATATTCCTGAAAATATAAAATCATATCAATATCGCTTATGATTTTTTCAAAAATAAATTAGTTGAATATATATTAAAATTTTGATCGTTTTAAATTATTTTGATTTATCAAACATAATTATGGATTTAAAATTTAACTTGAATTATGATTTTTTTTTAATGGCTTAAATAGGTAAAATGTGTTCTTTTAATTATTTTATTAATTAAAATATGACCTACAAATGATAATGAGTGTAAATATAAAAAAATATTTAGTGAAATATACTTTGCTATACACAATGAATCTTAACCAGTACTAGACAGAATTATTTCGTTTGAATCTAAAAGGTATCATCAATATGATATCTGCCTAAAATGTATAATTCTATGGTTTAGGTTTCGGTATAAATTATAAAAAATATTATTCAATATTTTGTTTTATATTTTACTTATTACTAAAATGTTGGTAAGTCTCCAACTAATAAATAATTTAAATGAAGGAATTTAGACAATAATGACTACATAGGTATATTTTGTAATTTATCCATCCATTATTTTTGTTTAAATATTTTTGTGTAACATCTTATAACATTTTTAGTTTTTAGAACACAAAAATGTTAAAGAGAAGGGAATAATTTATTTAATTTGTAATTTTGGTTAATATTATTTTGTATAGGTATTGTAAAACAGGTGTAAAAACATCATTTTTTTTTTCATGAAAGTTAGAAAACACCCCATTTATCCTTATAATATTGTTATAATAGTTACTTGACTATTTTATTATAAGTGTTTAACATCTACTAATGTAGTTAGTTGGTATTATTTGAATTTTGAAGTTAGCAGAGTTAATTTCAAACCTGGAATAGAATGCTTACCTATCATATTATTTAATTGATTCATCATTTATTAATTAAACTACATTATCAGTTATCACACATAACATATAATAATAATATATGATTATCAATTGAATAACTCAAGTTTAAGTAGAGTATTCAGGTATATATATTTTTTGAATTACCTAGGTTATTAATCTATTTAAAAAAATATATTTGTATTTTTAGAGCTCCTCGGACTAGAGCCTCATCTTCAGGTGGAAATGGAGTTAATGCCCAGGTATCCGGTGCTGATGGAATATATTTAAATGAAACATTTATGCATCGTGTTACTAGTTTAATTGGGCTTGAAGTTGAAGTAAGAATTTTTGAATTATCCAAATTTTATTTTATGTATTAATTTTTCTTTTTTTTTCAGATAGTAACTCATTCTAAAGAGATGTATTCGGGTATTTTGCGCACATTCTCTAGTAATTTTGATGTTGTATTAGAACTACCACACAGGACTGATCCTCCCCCATCAAGCCAATCAATAGGTTTAAAGATTGTAGCTGATAAAATGATATTTAAATTTGACAGTATAGTAAAAATTGCTGCATATGAAACAGATTTAGATAGTATGACTCGAAGTAAGTTAATATATATTAAATATTTAAGTATATTTGGTATATACTATATATTTTTATTTTTTATCTGTGGCTTGGTGCAAGAAAGGCTAAGGCAACATTTGGACAAATTTAAGATTATTTGGCTAATATTGTTAATATTTAGTAATGTTTCTTTTATTAAAACAGCCAATGTCTGATACTTACCAAATTTATATATACATTGGTGATTTTAACTTTGGTAGATGGAAGTGCACTAGCTAAATATAATATGTGGTCTAAGTATTGACATTATAGCCATATATTATTTATAGCTATGACATTGGCCATCTCAAAATCAATCAATTAAATTTATTAAAATAAACTAACATTTTATTTTTTTTTGAATATTATTAGGGTTTATTATAAAAGTTAAGTTATTTAATGAAAAAATTGTTAATTTTATGCTTTAGTATATATATATATATATATATCTTGCCAATGTTAGATATGGTATTAATAATATTTATTATAGAAATCCAATGAAAAAATAAGGTTAATACATTAACTAGTTTATAACAAATAAAAATGCTTGATTAAATTTTGGATTGAAAACAAATTAACTTATTAAAGTTCCAAAACTTAAATGCAAAGCCAAATGCTGTTTGTCCAAAATTAGCCTATTTTTAAATTAAATATTGTACTAATCCACCCATATAATATACATGTTAGATTATTGTACTAGTTAATTTATATAAATGTATTTATCAATAGATACATTCCAAACTGATACAACTATTAGTAAATATAATGGACAACCTTCAGGTGAAAAAGTATTGGAAATGTGGGAGCCGCCATCTATGAATGGTGATATGGATGATTTTGATTTAAGTTCTGGAAATAATAATGCTGTAAGTTTTAATATTAATTATRTTTATTGACATGTTTAATAAATATTTAAGACTTATTGTTTTTATTAATTTAATTCCAAATATGAAATTAATAATCAAGTTTAGCAGTTRAGTCTTAATAACAGTTTAATTATTTGATTTTTTTGGTATTAAGAATACAAAACAATTCCCTTCAAGCTGACATTGCATTAGTTTTTATTCACTCAAATTCACATTTTTCCATTCTTGGAAATTTGGTTGTTTTAACAGACATAATTACATGTTCATYATTTTGTAATTGATTGCAAATTTAATTTTTAGAATGGTTGGGATGCTGATGACATGTTTAGAAGAAATGAGCAAGAACATGGTGTAACATCTTCTTTTGATCAAAATTTAAGTGGTTATACAACAGAAATACGAACAGATTTATCAAATTTCAAGTAATAATTTGTCTAATAGTAAATCACATGTAGTTATAGTACAAATATTAAGTTACTAAGTAATAACTAACAAGATATTAGAAAAATAATTTTTTTATTTGTTGAATTAAATATTTTTGTACTTTATTACTATTAGGAAGAAACAATAGTGGTTTGATAATTAATAACTCGTATCTAGCTGAAGTGTAAATACTTCACTCTTTATTATATAAATATGTATAACAYGAAAAGGAGGGTAAGTGTAGAWTTCTCAATATAAGAAATCATGATAAAAAATATTACATTTAAATATTTAATTATACATCAATCTTAGTAAGTGAAACTTACTAGGCCACACTAAACCCTTCAATTCATGTTATCAATTGATATAAATATTGTTGATGTCAAGCCAAAAATTGACTACGTGCATAAAGTGATCTAGTGAAATAACAAAATCATAATTTGTTGAACTTAACAATTTTTGTTTTTTTCACTTAGTCACTTTTTTTTCAGGCTACATCACAATATAGATGTTAACGTGCAAAAAGTGACCAAATGAAAAAAACAAAAATAATATATGAAGTTATACAAATTTAAAATTTAAAAATATATTTATAATAATTTTCTCTTGGTAAATTTTGGCATGATGGCGACGATATTAACTATACTACAACTCTAATATACTCTATATACAAATAAACTGATATTTTTTGAAACACATAATATTTAAGAGGTTTATAATACTATACAGTTGTAATACTAGAACATTTATTGCTGCCCTTAAAACTAAATTACTTAGTTCTTAAGTTTTCTAATGTTACTGGGAAAAGGGTATAACATATTTTAACTCATGTGTCTTGGGTTGGATTATTTTAATAATAATAAATAATCATTTTAGAAATGAAGAAGCAAAAGCTGCTCGTTTAGCTCGAGAAATTGAAAGTAACCCAAGTTCTCAAAATAGAGCCAATTTAGAAAATGGTGATGAAGAAGAAAGGTAAATGATAATTATTTATTATTGATCAATACATTTTTAGTTATAATTAGTTTCAGTATTGTTATGCCTCAAAAGAGTCAAAATGTGCTAATATGCTCTAAACAGTAACCTTAATATATACTTTAATGTCATTGTGTGTATCAAAATTATCCAACTTAAAATAAATTCAAAACAATACCATTGTTCAAAAAAATGTGCATTGCAAATTAAAAAAAAAAAAATCATAGGTAATAATTGAAAATAAAACAAATTATTTTATGAATTAAATTTTCCATAACCTCTATAATTGTCTCAAATATGTATATGTATGCATAATGAATCATATTATWAATTGTTCACTCTAATCCAACTGTGTGCATTCAATCAAAATCAAAATAAATTATTAACTTGATAGTTGATACTGAATTAAATTAATATCTATGAAAATCATTATAAGGTAGGTTTTGTAATGAATTAAGTTTGTTGTATCATTTAATATATGGAAATTTTATGCTCAGTTCTTAAGAGGACGTTTCACCCGCATGTGTTGTCTCCGTCTTACAAGTGCATAACATTGCAAACTGTTACGCGCGGAAAAGAACCGAGAAAGATACACTACAGTTATAACTAAGAAACGAAATTTTCACCACATAAAAAGGAGAATTTTGTTTGTGCAATATTGTTTTTATTTTTTCGATATCACTTATACGAAAATTCTTATTGTTTCATAATACATTAATTTTGTGTTTTTTAAGCATGAATAACTTTTTTTGTAGTTCTGATATCGAAAAAATAAAAACGATATTGCACAGACAAAATTCTCCTTTTTATGTGGTGAAAATTTYGTTTTTTAGTTATAACTGTAGCTTTCTCGGTCCTTTCCCGCGCAAAAAAGTTTTTGCAATGTTACGCACTTGTAAGACGGAGACAACACATGCGGATGTAACGTCCTCTTTTGATAGAATAATGATTTTCCTATGCTTATTTTTTCTTTAGAAATAAAACTGTTTAAAATTGTATAAAACAAAACTATATTAAATTTTGTGATGAGATTCATAATAGATACTGATACTGTAATTACAAGTTTATAAAATTGCAAAATGTTTTGAATTCCAAATACCTACCATAACTAGATAAATATTTGTATTCTTTATAATAAAATACTATGTAAGAAATTATTTTTGATAATTTTTCTCTGTAAAAATACAATTTGAAATATGATCTACTTATTGTAGTTATTAAAATTGGTATTTTGYAAGATGGATGTATAGAATGTAGAAACAATAATTATTGCAGAAACATRTAAATAGGACATATTCTATCTATTTTATAAATTATTATAACTTTATTATGTAATTAAGTATTTCTTTTTATTAAGGTTTGCTGCTGTTTCAAGACCAGCAAGTGAGATGTCAAATAATCACAATGATGGCAAATATAATACGACTGGACGTCGTAAACCTGGACCACAACAGCCAGCCAACAGTGCATATGGTTTGTTTAATAGGAACCGTAAACACCCAGAAAAATATTCTAGCAGTGGATCTAATGAGCGATGGGAATGTGTTTCTGGTTCAGGGACAAAAAATAGCAACCAAAATCGAGGACACGCTCATCAACAAAATGGTAACAGCAACGTGAACAAATCCACTTTGCCTCCTTATCACAACAGTGCTAATCAAACGTATGCTGCCAATAGTCGTGAATCACCAGTTTCTGTCAACGGCCAAACTGATAAACGAACATCAGCTCCTATTAATAATCGTAGAGAAACTTCTTCATCTGGTTCAAGACATGGTATCTAATTTTACACTTAAATGTTGTATTTTATACATATAATTTTATTTTAATGCGTTTTTTTTTTAAATTTTAGTATCTGGTCGTAATAATTATTCATCTAATGACAATCAATCATTACCTTCTTCATCAAGATCATCACCACCAACAGTTCAAGGTCATCATAATCAAATAGCTAGTGTACCTCCTCCTAGATATCAAACGGCCACTTACACTCAACAGACGAGTACAACAAATTCTCGTCCTAATGTCAGTACATCATATGCTGCAGCTGCTGATAAATCTGTGCCAAAAACACAACCACCACCACCTATTAGAGGTATTTAATTTTACCTAATGTATTATAAGTATTAATGATAAATCCATTAATAAATAATGTTGTAATATTATTTTACTAAAATTTTTTTTATATTTTAACAGTAAGGGATGAAAGTCTTAATTCTGAACTGAAACGTTTTAGTACAGACTTTAATTTATCTTCGCCATCCCCTCAAAATAACCCTAGAGTTACTTCACCTGCATCAGTTGTATCTGAAATACCCAAACAACATGCTGCTCAAATACCACATTCTGAGCCACCTTCTCCATCTGTACAAGAAGGACCACATGTACCCGAAGAAGTGACTGAATCTCCTGTTTCACCTCCACAAACATTATACAAACTTCAAGAAGTGCAGATTGAAAAAAATGTAGAAAATTTAAAAAAAGATCAAACTGAAAAAACTTCAGAAGAAAATATAACTCAAATGCCAGATAAAACAGTTGTACAGACATCTAAGCTCAATCCTAATGCCAAAGAATTTGTTTTTAACCCAAATACTAAACCTTTTATTCCAGTAAGTTTCATTCTGATAAATTATACATAAAGCATGCATATTTTTATCAACAGATGAATGTAAAATTATTTTAAAAACTATTTATAGCGATCACCTAGTACTCCAAATTCATCTAGACCAATGACCCCTCAAACACCAACAACAAATATAGTTGCTACTACTAATCAACATCAACAAATGATCCAAGCACAACATGGACCAGCAATAGCTATTCCAGCTGCTGCTTATCATCATCACCATCATCAACATGCACCGGGTACAGGGCAAATGGTTACACATCAAGCTCCACCTCATCCCCATCCAGCATTCACTATGTTACCTACTGTATTTGTTACTTCAAATTCTGCATTTAATCATCATCCTCACTCAATGCCTCCACAACCACCTAATCAAGCAGGGCGATTTCGTAAAAGTTAGTATTAATATATTATTAAATATAGAATATGTATTACCTAACTATAGGTTAGTTGTTAGTAATAATGATAAAATTATTTTAAATAGATAATTTTATATCATGTTTATTTCAAAAAATTTAGTGACTGTGGGAATGTCTCATAGAAGTGATATAGCTTCACAAATTCAAGTAGCTGCTGCAACTGGACAACCCCTTTTGGCACCTGCGCCACTTCAAGCACAATTTGCTGTACCAGGATATAGTCCTCAGCCTATGCCCACACCTCAAGCTTATCAACAAGTTCAGGTAAATAGTTAATTAAAAACCCCTCTATCAATTGTTTATTTTATATTCATAAAAAAAAATCTAAATCTTAGTACCTACTTGATTCTATACTTAAAAAATACTAAAAAACTTCAGACTACCATTGTTAAATATAATTAAATCTCAAAATCAATAAATTTTGTATACAAAAATACACTCATGCATCTTATGATTTTCATATTTATGACAAAGCAATACAATTATTAAAAAATCTAAGAAATGTTATAATATATTATATTTTTCTGAACAAAGATTTAGTCACTATCTAATTTATCTCATCCTATGAAGCCTTAAGTTAGAAATATAAGTATTTCAGTTTTTATTAGTATGAGATGTATAATAATAAAAATAATCTTTGGTATGCCACTGAAATTACGCAATTACAGAGTTAACTGATAAGTTATTTCAAAATTAAAAATTAATTGCTTATTTGCTTTTTTTAGATGGTTCGTATGGTGCCCCAGCAAGGAGGAGGCATGATGCCTACTTTAGTGCCTACTTCAATAGCCTACCACCCAGCTAATGCAGGTCAGTTAAGTCAAATGGAAAGTGGTGTACCCCAAGGTCCACCTTCTTACCATCACCATCATCATCACCAAGCATCACAACATCACATAATGAATCAGCAACAGACTGCTCAGTCTCCAGCACCACAGCCTGGACCTCCACAAACACCTGGACAGTCTCAAACTCCTGTTAATTTCCAACAACCTCCCCCCCAACAATCACAACCACCTCCTTTCCCAGCGGGTACAACAATTATGTGTCCTATTTTGCCAACACCCACTGCATCGCAACAGCCATCGGCACCTAATACACCTGGGTCGGCACCTCCGATGCAACAACCTCCACCACAGCAGCACCAACAATATATTTCCCATCCACACCAGCATCATCAAGCAGCATCTGCGCAAGCGCCACACGGGCAATACCATTTATATTCAACCATTCGGGAATCATGAGATATAGCCAACTCATTCGATCCTAGTCCACATTTAGTAAGAGCAATAAAAAAGTGAGTATTTTTATCATGATGCTATTATTAAATATATATACATATATATATACATTTTGATGATTTAAATATTTATATTACTTACAGTTTCTCGGCGTTTATCAAGTCATATAAAACAATTGTCAGTTCAACCGAAAAATCTTGATTGTCAAGAAGCTTCAAGCTCAAAATTTACCATTATGTATGGTTACAATAACTATGAGCTAGCTTTGGTTAAATGTTGTTCAATATCTGTTATTTATTTATTATTATTATTTTCTCGTTCTTTACAAATKATTATTATTAATTTTATTATTTTTTCCATTGAATCCTTCAGAGGTTACTTCATTTTATTTGTTATGCCAGCATGAAAAGAAAGTTCTAGAACATTTATTAATTCGTATATAAATATATATAATATTGTGACCCGATTAATGTTTTTATTTTTCATTCATTTTTGCATATGACATCTTGTTGGCAATATAAAATTGAAATTATAAATTCAGCTGTTATAAGTACAGTTGTTAAATATATCAGCTCATATATATATATATATATATATATATTATATATTATACATTATTCATATATATATGTAATATAGCATATTAAATATATATTTATGAATATTGTGTCACTTACATTGTTCAAACTTAACTATACTCCTTGGCTGATATTTCTTTTATAAGAAAAAAATGTCATTCTGGGATATGTGATATTTAGCTGAAATTATAATTTTTATATTAAAAATAACCAGTTAGCAGAAAACAAAATTTTGTTATATTACCTCTGATTACTGGTTATTCATTTTGAAATTTAATATGTWTTGTGATTTTTTCTCTTTTTTTTAGTCTTGTTACAAATTTATTTTAAATTAATTTGCCGTACGATATATAAATTGCTCGACTTTTCTATTTAGTTTTAACAAATTGTTAGATTGGCTGCAGCGTGATCGCAAGTTAAAAAAAAGAAAAATATTTTGTTAGTTTTTTTTGGGAGTAATTTATTTAGTAGAATTTGTTTTAATTATAATATAAACTAAAACGTAAATGCTGCGGCCAACCTTGGACTTTCATAAACAAAATGTATTGAAATCTACGAGAAATTGTTAAACGCTGCGAGATCTTGTTAAAGTTTTATATAAAAGTCTTATTTTGTACATTTTGTAATGCCWCGTTCAATAAATAAAATATTAAACTGTCTCCCGAAATTTTTGTGATGTATTTGTTTTATATGCAAAATAATTATACATAAATCATAATACTAATCCAGTAAAAAGTAGTTACTAATTTTTGACATTGTCATTGACAAATATTYATGTTACTTGGGAAAGTTGAAACTTTGTCAAAACAAGTGTTTCCTAAAAAAATGACTGGTCTGGATGGGGCTAACGCTTAATCCCTTAATATGTGATGGAACTTATTTGATCAAGGTTTACTGAGCACTTCTATGGGCGTTATTGAACAATTAATTTAATAGTAAAATCTAATAGTTATTAAAATATTAATATCTACAAAAAAAATAAATAACAGACATTTTAMAGACATCGAATCATACGTAATCTGCATACGCATTAGGCCATTAGGCGGTATAAGCAGTGGTAAATTAAACACATACTTTGGAATATTCAATTTTAATTTATAATATGTGCAAGAAATCTGACAATATACCAAGACTTTGGGAAGTAAATTTCCTATTTTAAAGGRCATTAACACCTAACCTCAGGACTGTTTACATAAAATGGGCATCTCGTTAAAAATAGTGTTTTTTGTTTCAAAATCAGTCAAAATGTAGGATATTTTAGATTCTGAGCGGAGCGATGAATGTATTGATTTTACCA